ATTTATCTATCTATTTGATCAGCCATCTTTTGGGATATTTAGTTTTTGGCTGGTCGGTGAACTAAATCTGCTCGTTTCCTGTAACATACCATTAGCGTAAACTTAAATTTAAACACACAGAAAAGCTCAGATTTCAGATTTCAAGGAGTTGTTTTAAAAGTTGGGATTTCAGATGCTCGAGGAGAAGAAGAAGAAGCTTCTTTTTTGTCCTTTTATTTAAAGAGGAGGCGGTTACCATGGCTTTTGTCCTTTATAAGGGAACCTGCTTCTGCCTGTTGCTGTTTCCTCTGAAACGCTGCCACCTGCTGTCTCAATCAGATCACTTCATTTCACATCGTGTTTCAGAGAGAGAACTGGACATTTTCTGTGTTTTTGCTCCTGACTTAGCTCCAGCTCCTCTCCGGCCTTCAGCCGTTTCCGACACCGTCCTTTTTCCAAACAGACTTCATATTCGTGGAAAATGGAAACTCTTTGGCTGCCTTCGTCCTGTTAGAATTGGGCTAGAATTACTCACTTTAGCACGATATGTTGGTAACTATATGGCTATATGGTAACTATATTCTTTACAGTCTTATAGTTAACTATTTAATACTCTTATGCTGTCTATTTTATATTTCATAATTTAAGTTGGGGCTCTTTATTTAATACATATTCTTTCTCTAACCTGTTAATCCTTCTTAGTTCTTTAATTTTTTTTCAGAACTGTTCATCATTCATTTTTCTAGCTATAGCCAACCGACATATGGGTGACTTTTGACTGAGCAAATCCATTCTGGCTTTATCTTGTTAGAATTGGGCTATAATTTTAGCATAGCATGCTACAACTTAATCCCTGTAAATGACTGATTGTCTAGATTCATATTATTTATGATTATACCTTTGGGTTAAACTCTCTGGCTGTGCCTCCTCTTCCTCCTCTCTCTGTTACAGTAGATACTCGTCTTTAAGGTCAACATCCACACTTTCTTATCACATTCCACTGAAACCTGCATGAATTAGGACCTGGCCTGTTCCTGTCAGAGCTAACTGGCCAATAACACTCGTCCTCCTGTTGGAGGTCCAGAGGAAAACTGTCCATTACACCCGGAAATGGAGGCTCTTTGCTAACTGAGATCCTCCGGGAGCTTTGTCTGTGAGAGCCCAGTGCTGATTTACTTTGTTTGTGACCAATAGATGTCATATTTTTACTCTTGATCTGCTCTGGTTTATTCTCAGCCTTCCAACTAAAGAATCAGGCTAACAAGACGATGAAGTTAGCAAATCTTTTAGCGTATTATTCGGTGAGTTTTCCACCAGGACGTCTGCCTTTACAAATCCATTCAATAACCTCAAAACCAGCATTTGGGAACAGCTCACTAATCGATATAGAGTACCTGGAGGAGTGCATTTGGTCATTAAATGTCAGAGCAAACTGGCCAATAACACTCGTCCTCCTTTTCGAGGTCCTGAGGAAAACTGTCCATCACACTCAGAAATCGAGGCTCTCTGCTAACTGAGATCCTCCGGGAGGTTTTGTCTGTGAGAGCCCAGCTAATTTACTCTGTTTGTGACCAATAAATGTCAGATTTGTCCTCTTGATCTGCTCTGGTTTATTCTTAGGCTTCCAACTAAAGAATCGAACTAACAGTCTCCATTCCTGCTGACTACTTCCTGGTTCCCAGTCCCAGTTCTCTGGTTTGGGGGCAGGAGTCCAGAACGGGGAGGCCTTAATCCCACTCTTTTTTTAACAAAATATATGACGTAATCGATTGTGAAAAGTGTTTTGTGTAAACCTTTTGTTGTGACCAATAAATGTCATATTTGTGCTCTTGATCTGCTCTGGTTTATTCTCAGGCTTCCAGCTAAAGTCCCTCCTCTCCGGGTCAGAGTTCCCGTTAGCTTTTGGTTAAATCTAAAAGATGAGCTCTGTTTCCGCCTGCTGGAAGCTGG